GAAAAGTTTACTTTCACGTTCTTTATGACGAAACCTTCACATCAAGCCTTTAAATTTACCTGTCATGGGGAAAAAAGACAAGATCCTCATATGATCAAGAAATTGTAGTGTACAACTGCCAAAATACTAACAATTCGATGTCATCTTTCTCATGCTTTATCTTTTTCGAAACTCAGCCTTCCTTTTAGCACAATTCTATCACAGCTTATTACTCAACAGGAAACTAGTGTAACTCAATTTCAGTGAATTAATCTCTTTTTTTATCAGTCTCAAGTTCATTAGCAATTCAAAACTGGTTATTATAGGTTAAATGTTTTAGTACTAACTTCTCAACAACAACAAAAAAAAAAGAAACACCTTTCAGAAATTTGTCTATTTATAGAGATAATGCAGGAATGTATTATGTATTTGAAACTTACACAACAAGATATCCAGTTGAATAAGAGCATAAAAAGGTAATCTGCTGGTCGACCACTGAATAAATCCGTTTCTGTCGATTTCGAATAATTGTAAAGGAAATATAACATGATCAGCCAGTGGAAACCTGTCGATGGCGTTATTGGATAATAAAACAACGCAGTCACAGGTCGCCAAATCTGAAAGCCAATACTAAGAATAAATTATTACCAAACTTCATAATCCGAAAGAAACAATCCTTTCCCCTGCTTTAACAACCAGGAATCGACTAGAAAACATGCTACTTGGTAATTTATCAGTTACATATATCCATTTCTAAATTCTGCACTAATAAAACTGAATAACTTCGCTTATATTCCAAGTTCATTTTCGCTCAATGTTTACCAAACAATTAATATAAGATATAAAGACATACACTTTTAAAAAAAACTAACTTGTAATCGGTAGAAGAAGAGTCCCCACTCCAATATCATATAGTACGGGGAAAAACCCAAAAGTTTACCTAACATTGGTACAACAGCACATCCAGTAAACCAAAGTTTTGTTATTTCCGGAATCGAATGATACCAATCCCCAAACTCGGACATGATTAGCTTCTTTTACAGTTGCCGATCCCTAACTTGTCCGTAAAAAAACTGTAGCTTAAAAATGCATTAATTTGTGAATGACAAGATTTTTATGAGACGCCAAGAAAAGTAACTATGAATACGATGTCAAGTGAACAGTGACGAACATTTGATTCCCCAACACCGTTGATCAGCTGAGTTATATAAAAGAACGTGAAAAAGTGACTTGTAACTCAGCGAAAGCAAAGGAAAAACACTAAAGAAGTCAAAAAAGGATTACCTTCTTCCCTTTCTTCTCCTTTTCAATATTTATAAATATAAATATAAATACGAAGATAAATATGAATATGAATATGAATATAAATATAAATATAAATATAAATATAAATATAAATTTAATAGTAAATACAGATGTAAACCTGAATATACATTAAAATCTAAATATAAGCAAAATATAAATAAGAACAAATATAAATATAAGTAAAACCTAGAAAAATTAAAATAAATAAATCAGTAAATAAGTGAATCAATAAATAAATAAATAAATAAATAAATAAATAAATAAATAAACATATATGTATGCGTCTTATTCTTCAAAAGGAGTAAATCGCGGAAATAACAGTAGAACAACTGTAAATAAAATACATTTATATGAGTATACAAAAAAATTCATTACCACTAACTAAATACAGCACAAAAAATCCTGTTTTTCATCCAGCTTTGCGGAGTCTTCAGAATTTGATGGCCTCGGAAAAAAGTATTTTTTTTTTTGCGGAAACCGTAACAGTTTCTAAGTGCTCCTCTGACTTCTCTAACCGTTGTTTCCTTTCTGCTTGCCTGTACGCCTGCCTACTGCCAATGCAACTCAAACGACAATGACGATGCACAATCGTTTTGAGACGTGGACAATTTTGTGCGCGTGTTTTTGTTCGTGTGATTACGTCATCAAATCATCAATTTAATGCTGCCAGTTAGGTTGAAGAATTCGGCAACCGATAATGGACTGTTGGAACCGCTGCAGAATTCTATGGGCCACTGCCACATCAACAATCGCTGTTGCTATTTTTATTGCTGTTGAACAGTTCTCGCTGGTTATTTTTCATGGATAGTTGTAGACGTGTTACACGTATATACTTTAAAGACAGTGACGAGCAATAACGACTGCCAATCCTCATAACCAATTTAGTGATTAGAAGGGCCGTGGTTGTCGTTTGCACAGCACAGCACGCATATACACGCACAGACACACAGACACCCAGACAGACACACATATTTATGTACATACACGCATACACTTCCAAGTCTGGCATTCCGAAGTCCCGGCGATATATCGCCGTTTCGTTTGTTGTCCATTTGCTTTCGCTTCGGTACAGTGCTCGGTCACTGCTGTTGGTGATGTTCGTGTTCGCTGTAGTGATGGTTGGTGGAGGTGCTGTTGATTCTACTAACTGTTGTCTGTTGCAAACTGTTAAATTTGTAAGCTGGTGCCTGAATGCTTGTCAAATAAAAAGACTTTTGATTACTGAGTTCAGTGCAGTAGCACGCTTGGTATAAAGTTGGCACATTGTTATCTATATAGCACTCTGTTAGTCGTGTTAAGTACATCATTGGATGATGCTGATGATATATATTGTTGCTGATATATTATATAACGATCAGCATCGGCAGTAGCAATAGCAACAGCAGCAGCAGCAGCACCATCATCATCATCATCGTTGTCATCGGCATCGGCAGCAGTAAAAAAGGTGTGGTTGTCCTTTTGCTTTTATGTACGGCACACTGCTGTTTTAGAGAATTTCTGTATATTGTGTTTCCAAGTTGCTCTGTTTTGCAAATGTTTGGCAGGATGAAACGTCTTTTAATCGATTTAAATGACTGTTGTTTTTTTTTTTTTT